ATTGGCGTCTTAAAACACCATAAACGAAACGTAAAATGTATGGGCTCAGAAAATACTCAACCTTACAAACATAATACAACAAAAAACGTTTTTTTGTATTACTAAACACTTCATTTAAGTGGCAATTGACGTTAATTTCAGGTCACTAAGACTTATGTAGGAACGTTTTGCACACATATACATTTGAGGGAAACACTTCTCTTAAAATTTCTTGCATATTACCTGTGCTCATACATAAATTATGTTCTTGATGAATTAATATCGCTATCAAATCTATTTTGAGTTTCGTATGCAGATTATGGAGGAAAGTTGTTTGGAAACTCGTTATTGAAGCACATTTTCTAAAAATCTAGGGTCAAAAGTTCGTTAATGTTCTGTGACATTTCGTCGTTTGAAAAAATGCAAACAAGTATGGCAAAAGAAATCTTTACGATATTGATATTTAATGTTAGCAGGATGTTCTCGGTGTGTTTAGCTTAAGTAAATACTGGGACTGCGAATACAAATATTATCTAACTACTCTGATGTATTATGACCGTCAGACAATACGTATTCATTACTAGCACTTTTTTTTACACGCTTTATATTAGCTTCACCTGTATGTATGTATGTAATGTATGTATGTAACCGACTCCTTCGGACTCGATTTTGACCCACTTTTAACGGACAGATTTAATTCAAACTTTGCGCACCTGTCAAAGATCGATGACAATGCAATAATCCGAAAAAAAAAAATTAACTAAAAAATAAATAATAGTTTGTAAAAGCGTGGGTTGCTCGATAAACGAAAAATATGGCACAGAGCGCCCCACGCTTTTTCACAATAATACCAGTATTTTTTGTTCATTACCATTTTCAGCCTAAATTAGGAATTATTTTTCACTTTTTAGTTTAATGTGCTTTAAGCGTGTGTTCTAGTTTTTTTTAACTATTATTTATTTAAATTAAGTACCTTTTTCACTCGTTTTGTGAAGATTCTTTTACAAAACGAAATAATGTTTTTATTAAATACACTGTACATTATATACGCCATGTATTATTAGATATATTTCATGGCACAGATTTTATTGTTTTTTTTATTGTAGCAGGAAATAACTTTACAAAGAGGCAAACAACGCATCCAGATCTTCTTTTTTCCCATGGACTTAAAAGAAACCTATTTTGAAACCGATTATTGTTCTTCTATTTTACCGACTGTCAAAACTTGAAGATATCCTCTATTGGGTACCTCGTGATTTATGCAGATCCTAATTTCTACGAGTCGAAAAAAAATCAGCTGTCAACTAAACAAAGTGTATATACCATAGACTAATATAATGGATATGAAGACGGATTTTATTTAAATGTTAATTATTTATGTCAATTACGCGACGATAATGTTCCTTATTTTATTGAGTGTTTAAAAAGAAAATAAGTGAATAAATTCATTAAGGTCATGTTTTCTCAAAAATTAATTCAAAACCTTCAATTATTTTTCTTATAAATCGTGAATAATGAAATCATACATCTGGTCCTTCTATCGTACGCCTTGAACACTCGATTCTACCTGTTCTGACATTGAAACATATCGATAATCGAATGAACACAAAGGAGTACAGAAATCTATAAGTACAAAATAAATAAATATGTACATATATTTAAATTGAGTTTGACCGGTTGCCATACCTGAATGATGTTAAAAAAACAAGTTTCCCTTCAAACTAAAACTAAAGCTCTATACAGTGTACAGTCATTATAATGCAGTGTACTGAGGAGCTTAGGATAGTTTCTTTAACAATAGAATATAAGGCAAGTAATGATTTAGTTGTCGACGTTTGATAGTTATTTTAATTATTGTATTGTGTAGGGTATTGGATTTATTAATCATTAGTAGAACCTTATCATTCTATTGTATTCGAGGCATAGTGTATGGTTGATAATACCGGCAAAACAATAACTGTTACGGATTAGTTGATGCAGTAAGCGACCCGAATTGGTTTAAAGAAAACAAGTAACATACTAAAAATGATGTTACGCTGGAACATAAATTTTGTTTCCCTTATACTGGGTTTTGTTACCTAGCTGTCTGATTAACATAGAGCCTGAAGCAATTGAAGTCCAACATAATCCACTGAGAATGCGCAACGCATTCCCACCCATTTTAACCAACAAATCTAAATCATGCCTTTAAAACGTATGTAATTAACAGATGCCTGTGTCAGGACTATGCCCCATCAGGAGACATTAAACATTATCATTCGTATAATAAAGAATATTCTAAAGTCGGGGCTGACCGCTAGTCTACATATAATGAAGGATGCAATCCGTGCGACGCATTGTCTGCCAGGCGAGCTCTCAATGTTATTGTTATTTTCAACTTAGTGATTATATCAAGTCATGTTTATTTTAAATTGCAATTTATTTCGATGTTAAATGCATATTTTATGCCTGATCTGGTGATTTTGTTCTGCATGCGTATTTCTTCCTACTTGTAGATAAGTTTTTTATACAGCATTAAATCATTTTCTAGCTAAAGTTTATGTTGTTCAGTTAGTGGAAATAAGTTTTGACCATCCCACCACTGAGATTACCAGGATATTGTGGGACTCAGTTCGCTTCCGCTTCAGGTAATACGGCACTCAGAGGTATCCCGGGACCTTATATATAAAATTGGGCCTTAATTAATGTCACATTGGTGTGCATCTTTACTCAAACTGTATCAAACCAGTGAACCATCTAACTTGTAAGTACCCTGAGCTGAAAATTGTTGATTGATCGCTTTATAATACTAGTATACGCCCAACATCATTTTCCTTTTAACGTCTAATATGAAAATTAACACTATTAGCAGATAAAATATATTTAATGAAGCAGAATTAATAGTTAATGGGTAATTTAAAAACACCCGAAGATCGTTTAAATAAAGGTCAAGTTTATGGACTTTCCAGATAAGCAGACCTCATGTGTTGAAGGCAAATATTTGAAGAACTCAGAGAATGTAATTAAGCGCTCTTTAACATTATAATTCAGAATGATTTTAAATGTTATGACCGTCGGTGGCCTCGGAAATGATGATCACATATGGCTAATGTCACTCATGTACTGTACATATCACTTCGTTAATATATTTAAAAAATATACTGCAATAAACAAATTCCAATAATTTTGATGGTTTTTGTACTGATATTGTAAACGAAAAAGCGAATTAAAATTATATCTAAACGGATGATTAATGATCCCCAGACAACGTTTGAACTCCATCATCAGAGTAGCTCAACAACTCAATTTTATTTTTGACCTAAGATAGAACCTATTATTCGTAGTATTTTGAATGTCTGAACAGATCTGCATAAACCATGTCAATCACGTCAATTTTCTACCATAATCGGCTCGTTTAGGAGCTACTGTGCGACAAACAGACAGATGAAATTACAACATATAACACCCGCGCTGTTGGTGTTTGAAATCATTGGTTTAAAACAAAGTTTACGCAATACTTATCGCACATGTTCTCCAAAACGTGAGGAGCAATTTCACGGCATATTAGCACCGCTAACATTTGACGTATTTTATGACAATTAACTTCTAATTAAAATAAAACACAATCAAAAAAATTTATAAAAATCAAGATATTAATTTCATTATAATAATCTTTAAAGGGTATACAAAATAAACTGCAACGATAAACGAAATTAAAATGGACTCGGATTTTCTTACCTATTTCGTGAATAATATTAATATGTAAATGATTGAAATACAAGTAAAAACTCAGGTCAGGTGGTAAACCGGATCGGTTGGCTACAGACAAGATGTCTCTGTATCGTTTTAGCGCGTAATTGAACATTTTTTGTTTTTACAATATTGCCTTTTGATTCATCAATTTTTACAGTGGATTCTGTAATTTTACAATATTCAGTAGAAAACTACTACTATATAAACACGTTATGGTACGATTTTGGTATTGATTCAAACCATAAGTTTCAGTACCTACCCGTGAATAATCCCGGAAATGATAAAATGCGCTGTTTTGAAAACGGAGTTCATTCAGTATTTTTCAGTATTTAATTACTAAGAACTTATTATCTGTACTTAACCACGCATGCAGTACGAATTAAATCTTCCATTTCGGTTACTCATTTTAAGATTACTTCAAATGAATCGGAAATCTGATACTTTGTATTACCAATTTTATTGAATGCAACCTTAGAATATAAATAATTCTTTTATTTGAGATATGTATGTATTAATTACCAAACCACAAGGGGATTGTAAAGCATTTTTTTAAATCGTAATCTCTTTTTATTTTAGATTGCACATCTATATTCTCCAAGGAGATATTTTCTTGACTCACAATACTTCAACGAATGTGCCGAACCATAAAACGAGGTAGCTTTGGACGCAGTAAGGTTGAGCGTATATTATTCTTTCCTTGTTTTTAGGTGCCTATAATTTCGCCTAAAGACCACTTCCGTTCCGACCAATATCTGTCAACATATTTCCACCTTTGGCTCGGACACATCACAAGAACTCGATTTCATTGACAGCGAGCGGGTTCAAGATAATGACTTTTAAATTATTACTGGAGACAAAAAGCGGTCCGTCGACGAACGTTTAACCTTTCATCGCATAGCTGAAGACACAGCGCAATCGCTTTTCGAAGTTACTGTACTTGTGTAAGAAGTTAAGAAAAAAGGGGATTAAGGAAGCGCATTTTGATATTGATGCTATCTATTAATAGTAAACAGTGGATTAGGTGCTTATTAATGCTGCGGCTGGAGCCCGGGCTCGGACGATACGACGGCGTCTCAGCGTCTCCATGGTAACACCGCACGGCTACATAAGCGAGCGCGCACTAGACACACACACAGATTGCCTAAAACCGGAGAGCGCGCGGCACGCAGTGCAGCGGATCACCGGATAGTCTAGTTTGACGTTTCGTAAATATAAGTGAAACACTTTTGTTACGAATCTCAACCAAATCGTGAAATTAAGTTTAGTGTTGTGAATAGACAATTTTTGATATGATTGCCCTAGTGTTGTTTGTTGTGGGAAGCCTAGCGGCAACAGAGGCGTGTGGTGCTGGGAAACAGATGCTGAGTAAGTTATTTTACCTTATATGAATATTTCTTAGCAAAACTTTATTACCAACTATAAAAATTATTCTACAATAAAATATTTAACTACCAAGTAAATAAATATTTTTTCCCGCATGACGAAGTAATTATATAAAATATAACATAACTAACATCATAATTCTCTCAAGTGCCAATTAATTCAATCACATAAATTGTACACTTTGTATAAATTTTATGTCATTTATTTATGTGACTTATTTTTTGTTTCCATTGCCGTCATTTTTACGTTTGTTGCTAAGCTATAAAGCAGCAAGTGCTTTATTGAATTAACACAGTAATTTAATAACACAATATTAAACATGAAATAAAGATATCAAAAGGACAATTTACAGTCGAGGGTGTCATAAATTGTATCGTCGCCACCCAGTCTAGATTCCGCGAACGAATTTTACCTAAAGTGACGCCTCTATTTGCATACTTGTATGGATCGAGATCGTAAAATTTAATGGATTCAGACACCTGTGTTATACGCACTAGTCCAACTAATCCGTAGGATTATTATATCAATTTGTAAACTATACTAAATTTGTATATTTTTGCTGGCAAGTTTCTGATGTTTATTATTTTATTAGGAACTGGAGGGCTGACAGCCTATGAGAAACAAGCTATTGTAGACGCTCATAATCGTCTTCGGCAGTCAGTAGCTCTAGGACAAGTATCAAGCCAACCACCAGCAGCTAATATGATGGAAATGGTCAGTATGCTATCAGATTTTATTTCATCTTTATGCCTCATTAAAGGCGCAATTAACTGTAATTTTCAATGACGCCTTTTATGGGCCGATGGCCACACAGTATTATTAACGCATATAATTGCCTTTTTACCGAGCGAAATGTCAAAAGCAGGAAGAGCAAGTTACTGATTCATCGCTTTATACCTACTTCATGCTTTTATTACTAGATAAATATTACTCAGAGCTTTAAGCCGATTCTGATAATACTGGTTTATATTTTCAAAGCACTGAGACATACATAACTTTAAAAAAATAAGTAACATATTCTCACGATATTTAACAGAGCAAAGCAGACTTTCTTGAGTGTTTACATGTTCAATAAAAAGGTATGTCTGATGGCCTTTAAATGCAGAATTGAGAGGAATGATCTTAGGTATTATCATAAAAGATATTAAATAGCACGATAAAGGAAAAATATGAATTAAGTGAATGTCACAAAACAGACAGTAACGTCTGTATATAAATCGATAAAGGCTAATGATTTCTGTAAAAGGTAATAACGTTAAATTTATTCATAATGGGAGATGAAATGGACTTATCAGGTAGGAATTTCATCTAACTCACGTGGAGAGCATGTGACTTTTGAATAAGATTTAAATTGATACGATATTATCACGCTCGTTTTGAAACAAGTCAATAAGTACGGTAACCGTAAAAAGTGTTATTTTTGGCAACTGTTAACGGAACAAGCAATAAAATACTTTGTAATTCAATATTCCCAATATCAATACGGGTTTATATTGACCTCTTTACGTAACAAACATATCTGATTAATTTAACTGCAAAAATGTATGGAAAAACAAATAAATTAAACACATAAATGAAAGATTAATTGTTGCCAAACAAATGGCCTAGTGGCTCACTAAATCAATATTTTCATGTTTCGAAATTATTGAGTTCAAAGGCCCACGTTCAAGACATTGACCTCTAAAGTTCACTGCACATAGCAATAAATTTCACAAATACTTGTATCATTGATGCAGTTAAAGGATTGTTTAACGGTAGAATACGCATTGCAGGTATGGGACGAAGAGTTAGCAGCCACGGCACAACGTTGGTCTGACCAATGCACTCCCGCACATGATAGAGCGGCGCAGCGTGATGTCGGCAGGTTTCCTGTGGGGCAAAACCTTGCAGCCACGTGGACCACTCGCCCACCAAGTGATTCTTCGGACTCAGAACCAGACTTCATGAAACAGATTAATGCGTGGTTTGATGAAGTCAGGATTTACGGGTTCAAGCCTATCAGTGGTGGACACGGGACTGGACATTACTCTCAGGTAACCAAATTTGACTATGAATATCTATGAATAAAAAAAAATTGTGAGTAATATAAAAAAATCACACAACGCCCGATCGAAATGGCTAAACTTAAGAGGTTATTTATTACAGTTGGTATGGGGCGAGACATCTCATGTTGGATGTGGATACACATTCTACTATGACCCAACCCGCGGATACACCAAGCTGTATGTTTGTAACTACGGCCCAGGTGGCAATGTCATTGGATCGAACCCCTACGAAAAAGGAAGTCCATCTTGCAGCGCATTTGGACTTTCAGAATCGAGAAAATACTCTGGCTTATGCTGTAAGTATATTTAACTTCTTAAATAACAATCATAAAATTTTCATTCCTCCTAACAGATTCAGTTTCAAGGCTCTTCACATTTTACGATTCATTTCACCAATTCATGGATGTGTTATTGTAATTGTGGCAGCCTATTTAATTAATTCTGTTGTTACAGCGGCCACTTACACGAGCACATCGAGCTACCAAGTTGACAATAACAACGGCTACATCTCGAATGTCATCCCCGACAGCACTGGTGATTCTCCAGCCTTCAACTACCACTTCTATAACCAATACAACAACGAATACCAGTACTATCAACGGCCACAGACCTACTACAAACCCGAGGCTACCACCTTTAGGCCTCTGATCAGCATCTTCAAGACCGCTTCAAATTTATTCGTTAAACCAAAAGCTCTTCGGGTTGGAAACGTCTACCTATAACGCTTTCAACCAGTGGCATCGTTTTCATAACAGTATTTTAATTAATTGTGACAGTTGTGTTACTCGACTGATTTATTCGAAGCTAGACGCTTTCGGAACTTTGTAGATAACTTAATTCCTTGGTTTTACAAGGAGCTTAGGACTTTGCTAATACATTTTAATTCACCTTGTGTAGGTTGAAGGTCTGATAGTTTCATACTATAATTACTTTGCTGTCGTGTGTGACCTTCTAGTATTAGATAAGAATTAAAATATGATGTTGTTATTTAGAGTATTTATATTTTATTGTAATAAATTTTCAAATAATAATTTATTTTTTATTTATAAGAATAAAGATTATTTTTGTCTGATTTCGCTGTCATTTATACAAGTCCTGAATACATGGAATTTCAATTGGCATTTCATTGGCAAAAAATGTATACAAAAATAGTACATCAGACAAATTAAATTTTTAAATTAATTAAAATATTATTTCGTCAGAGAGTAGCATTTATAACAAAATACTTTTTTATTTCTAATACATAAAACTAGTGTGTGTTTCGAACACTTATAAACCTTGATGAAAGGTTGAAAGGAAACGATTAGTAAATATAATTAAACTATACCCAGATAATTTCGACTTTTAAATATTAATAAAATCTTTTAATACTATGCAAAAACTTAATGCTTGTTAAGCATTCTACTGATCACAATATACATCAATTTTATGAACAGATATATACTTTATAACATCGTTAATATTTTAAAACATACATGTTTGTATTTTGGTGTCAGTGTTTACTTAAGATTTGTAGATTCAAATCTTCTCGAACCCCGAGGTGCCATTTTAGGGGCGTGCTGATGTGTCTGTTGTGGGTATATCTCGCTATCTCTTTGATTAACAAAGGCCCGTGTTACACAGGGCATGATGATGAGGATTACTCCTAGGCTCAGTGTCTGCGCGTCAATCTCAATCAGACCTATGGCGCGAGTCGCTACACCTTAAAAAACGCTTGTATGACTTCAAAATCAATTATTAATAGCTTCCGGTATTGTCGTTGACTGTCTATTTAGTAATCGTAAACTAGAGATATTCTTCAGTCGCTTTTATCATTTCTGAAGGTTGTGTTAGTGGCTATATTTTGTTTGTCAGGAAATGCGTTACGCAAACCCTTCCGCGGTATGACTGCCCCGTGGTGGAGCGTTATGTGGACTCGCCACTGTGCATACCCACTAAAACCCCACGGCACCACTAGCAATAGCCCGAGGCAGGACACGGTAACAGCGTAGCCTTGTCTGTATCCCATCACGCGATCAGCAGTTAAAATAGCGGCCAATATGGCCATTAATGATATGGAATGCACATCAAGGGCCCTCCACTCTACCCTGTCTTCGGCAAGTTTCTGCGCCTGGGTGATGGTAAGCCCTGTAAAATCCTTTACTTTAACTATATACGTAGGTATGTTCTATGCTGCCAAAAAGTCAAGTCTATATCACGCCAGATCGGTTCGCATGCAAATAATATTAGCATCATTAGATTGAAGCGTGTAGAATGGGTCATCAAATAATTATTTTAATAATTTATATTCATGTTTGTTATAAAACAAATACAAAACTTGATATTGAACAAATATCAATGGCTGAGTTTACCTTGGCTAGGAGAAGCCTTGACCTCTCATCGCAGATGACAGGTTGAGGACACGATTACGTAAATCACTGAACAAATATCGATGAAGGTGCTAAAATCAATCTTCCGACGTACGTTCAGTAATTATGTGGAGAATTTATATGTTCATATAAAAAAAATATTACAAATACGCATTTAAAGCTTCACGAAATAAGAATAGTAACATCAGCGATAGGGGAACATTTTTTTATCCTTTATTTGTGGTTTCTATCTTCTAAGACTCGGAAAACGCAACGAGATTGGCCTTTTGTAACTACAACACGTCCTTATATTGTTGTTTTAATGGTTCATGTTCTTACTCATAGATGACAGATTTTATTTCACCTAAACGATTGGCCTTTAGGGTGATATTCAGAAACGAGACCAAGCGCTAAGTGTGACTTCTAATTGTATAAAATTTTGAAATACGAGAGACAGTTCGCGCTAAGACTTCTGAATCTTACCCTTACAATCCACAGCAATCCACGGCAAGTAATAAAATACATTAAGTAACATAACAGTTTGATCTACGATGAGAGTATTTTTATTAATATTATTACATATTGATATTATTTTCAATAATTAAAGAAAATAGATAATTGTAAAACAGAAAAGCGTATCTTTAGCATGTAACACAGGTAAGGAAATTTAAGAACTCAACATAAAACTTTAAAGTCTTTCATTTTAACCTAGCACAGGTCTTTAGACGGGTGATTGACCGCAACTTTATATCCCAAGCCTACCATTTTACAACTATAGGAGTTAATCTTGTTTTGATTGTGGAAAAAGCAAAGCATTTTTACGAATAATGTAAATGATTTAACTTATTTTTATTTGATGGAAGTTTAAATAAAACTCATTCAAATGATGCGAAATTACTACAGTATTTTAATAGCTCAAAATATAAAATTATGAAACTACATTGAAATAAAAATTACGAGTTTTAATGAAATAGGGTAATAATACGTTGAAATTGTGTTATATTGTGTAAACCAAAGATAATATTAGTTTTGATAGTAAGTAGTTCTAGGTACGAAAGCAAATAAAAAAAGAAACTTACTTTATTGAACTTACTTAAAGCTTACTTTATTATACATTGAGTATTTTTATCAAAGTATGGAATTAATTATACACTGCGTTATTATAGTTAATTAAAGACTAAAAACGAAAGTACCCTTAATATATTAAGTATCAAATTTCACTGAAAAAACGTTTATTAGCGTTACGTATGTACATCTTATGACCCTTTCGAATATAGGAGGAAAATTAGCTAAGTAAACGCACACTTATCACCAAAATCCTCTGACTTACTTGACTTAATGTCCTATAACTCCTAGATGGGGCACAGGGCGTCCACAGTGAGTCTTCATCGAATTCGGTCTTGAGCCTCGTATTTCACCTCGCTCCAAGTCTTTCCGGCTCTCTTTGCCCCATCTGCATCTGTACGGCACTAGGTTTGCCTGGGAAGGCCACGTTTCTTTGCGGGTTCCAATCATGCTTGGAAATATGATTGGGATCCCTTCGGAGTTTATGGCCTATCCATTTACATTCGCTTGCTTCACTGCTGGCTAATCGGAGTTTCTCGGCAGCACTCCAAAGTTGCTCGTTAGAGATATACACGGACAGAATACGGCGAAGACAGCGGTTGACAAAGACTTGGAGTCGCCGCGAGATGTCTTTGCTGACCTTCCACGTTTCACACCTATATAGCAGCACAGGTTTGACGTTGGATCCCAATATTTTAAACTGATTTAACTAAAACTAAAATACTACTTACTAAAATACATCAGTAATCACACTTTTGTATTCTTTAATAATGAATAAATTCAACTGTCTATGTGACTCATACGAGAATGTATAGAACACACCCTCTTCAATGCTTAAAAAGTTCCACCGGTAAAAACTGTATGAACAACAACTAAAGTATAGAATTTATTGATTATTCGTATTGTAAAAGACGCATAACAGTCACGTGTCAAATGTGCTTACACGAGCCCTCAACTCGCTAATTGATAACACATTATCGTTGAAATGCCCTTATTGGGATATCTAATTTATTAAAGCTGTCGATTTGCAGGTGCTAATTAAACGTATAGACAGTGTAAATAACACGATACATTAAAAGTTATGTTGCGTAATAATACCATTAAGGAATACTCAACTTTTAACTTGCCCTCAATGCCAAGGTCCAATATAAGTATCCGAATCCCCTTAGACTTAGCCTATATAGACATGCACATATTTTTACATGAGAAAAAAACGTCACCATGGTAACAAAAACAATACTAGATTGCATTTGTTTATTTGACCATTTTTATTTCATAGCCAAGTAGGTGATGGTGATCAGCCTCTCATGACATCGATTTTTGGATTTGAGATATGCCGGTTTCCTCAGTACGCATTCCGTCACGGTACGAGCCGGGGATCGAATAATAATAATAAATATGTGAAATAAATATCATATGCTTTGTTTCTTATACTGTTGAACGGCTACGAACAATATATAATTTTAAAGGAACTAATGAACGTAATAATATATATAATATATAATATGACCCATGTCTAAATGTACAATTGTTAAACTCAAACCGTATGACGAAACACATATTTTATTTAATGATGACGTAAAAGTAAAATAAAATATGTTGATTATTAACGAGCATTGTGAATGATAAAATACTAAATGAAATATAAATATAAATAATATTTCTACAAGTTCTACTAATCAAAATGATACACACTACGAGCTTATACATACGCTTGTACTCTGTTATTCCCAAAAGCGATCGCAATCCCGACTTCATCATCAGCTCTACGGGTTTTAAAAGAACTATCGAAATGGGGTGCGAAAACGTCGGAATATTCATTTAGGATCGGCGCCATCACTATAACTTCTAATAGCGAATGCGACTATAATATTGAGAGAACGAAATTGAAAACGAGAACCAAAACTCAATGACAAAGTCGGGATCGCTTGTGGAAGCTGCAGAGTACCAGCACCGATTCTATATTAAGAAGTTCGAAGTAGCCATCAAAATTATGTGTTGAGTTCTAAATTCAGCTAATTCTTGTTACAATCATTGCCAATCGGTGTTCAAAGACCCAACGAAAATTTTCATGCGATTTTTCCACATCAGAGTTGATAGATTGTTCGGAGTTGATAGATATTACTATAATATGTTATTAATCTCCAATAAGTACCTACTTATCAGAAATAAAACAATATTACCTGCTAACTCGTGCGACATGATAATTAATAGTAATTTGAGAAGTACTCGCTATATTCCTAATGTTTAGATACGTTAAAAGAGAAAACTTACACGTATATGTTAATTTAATGTAATTGCCATTTTCA